TAATAATAATAATAAAACACACACACACATTTACAAGCACTCAAAAGGAAAGAGTTGAACAATTTTCCACTGGGTAATGGGCTTAATTCAACTGAGCTTTCTCTCTGCAAACAGATATAAACACCAACACATGCGCACATACACACACATACACACACACACAAATACATACACATATGCATGCACAGATAACTGGCAACTGCATCGTAATTGCACATTTTAATTTTGCATGGTTTTTAAGCCGAAGCGCTTAATTTCAGGATTTATGTGCATGCATTATAAATATCCTGCCCACCGATCCTATAGTAGATTTTAATTAGTTTGCCAGCATTTCGGATTTGTCGGCCGGCCGCTAGCCCCACATAATTTCAGCCGAAGCCCAGCACTCTAAATTGTATTTTTCATAATTCATAAATCGCTCCTCAACGTGCTGATAGCTCTTGATGCTCGGCCGCTAGTCGCAGTCGCAGTCGCTGTCCCCGTCGTCGTCGCCGTCGCAGTGGCCGATCCGCATCGCGTAGCGCACCTGAGAGTTTTCAGTTTAAGTGGAAACTATATGAGGCCGAAATGATGGACCATAAACGCAAAACGAGTACGAGGCGCATTAGAAAGTTAGACTCTGGGCCAAGAAGCCCACCGTTTAATGGGTGCATATTCATAAAAGGATATATAGACTTAAAGTAGTCTCATCATGCAGCCATGAGATTTCACTTAACGGCTGACGCACATGCGAAACCAAAAGGGGTTTCCTTTTCAGACCATCACCAGCTTGCTGTCTGTGTGTACCGCATCTACTGCTCCGCTCCGCTCCTGCTGCTGCTCCTTCTCCTGCTGCCATATAAATAAACATAATCGTGAAACAAGGCAAACGCAACTAAAATGCTGCGGAATTTTAATAGTTCACGTAAATGGTTTTTGTGGCGTTGGTAATGTTTATTAACCAAGTTAAGCGCCACTGCTCCGAAAAGGGACGACGCGTCGTCGGCCGGAGTCCTTCAGTGGAGCGTGTTTAATGCTCACTTAAGTTGCGTTTATACAAATTTCTTTGGCTCCAGCCACCAGGGCCAACACCGCCGACACGCAGCCAGCTCGGCCAACCCCGAAATACCCTGTAACTGCGTCTCCTTCTTCTTTACTTGTTGTTTTCTTCATCATCATCTTCTTCTTTTTTGTGTGTGTAGTTTGTATCCTTCCGTTGCTTCCTGGAGCACAACTTTCTTTGTGCAGTGGCTTAAGGTATGTACGCCTTGTTCGCTGCCTTGACTGCCTGCCTGGGTGGCTAGCTGGCTGGCTGACTGCTTGCTCCCAGCCAAGTTGTGCGTAAGTGGGTTCATTTATGCCCGAGAACAAATGCTTTGTTGTTTACATTCTTAGAAGTTTTGTATCTCACGTCTTGCCACGCTGGACGCGCAGTAAGCAACGATGCCACGTTCCAGCCAAGGTGCCTGGATAGCTAACCACTCAACTGGAAAAGACCTCGCTTCTGTCTCTATTCAAGTGTGAGTGTGTGTGTGCCTTTGTGTGTGTATGTGTGTGTGTGAGAAAGAGAGTCTGCGACTGCATGCCTCAAATTTGGCTATCTTAAATGGACCAAATAGTAGACTTGTGCTTAGCTGCAGCCCCAAAACCATTTGACCTCAAGTTAAATTTAAGCCAACGTTGGCAATAAGTCTGCCACAGCAAAACCAAAGAATTATTCCTGTGCAGCTTAGCTTGCTCAAGCAACTGAGACGCTTAGACTTTCAACGGATCTACGGCTTAAGCACTACAAAGAAAAGTCCGACTATTCAAAACAAATTGCCAAGGCATCGCAGTTGCCGAACTTTTGTTTCATAAGACTTGGACGATTCAGAACCATTGTATATAGTACATAGTACATAGTACAAGCATCCCCAGTAAAAACACTTGTCTGAATGTACAATTTTTTAAATTTTATTCATCAATCACTTGTTCTCATATCAATTGTTATTAGCTAGGCAAAAAAAAAAAAGTTTGGGTCTCATCGTTTATAATTATCAACTAACATTAATACATTTATGTATGTTTATGTATACATATATATTGTAGGTATATCTATATATA